TTANTAATTTGCGATAGTCATCAATATCGTTTAAATTAATTTTTAGTTTATTGTTAGTATATTTGGTACTAAATTCTTTGGTTACCTTTGTTTTAATATCCTTTAATATTTCTTGGTAGTTTACTACATTATGTAGGAATATTGGTGGTATTTTAGAAGGTTTTTCAGAAATTTGTTGTTGGTCTTCCACTTTATCCGTTTGCATTGTTGATAATGGGTAGTATTTGTTGTTTTGTAGAAGGACATTAGGATTAGGATCCCATGTGTAGCGTTTTTGAGTCTCCGATATGGGAGGTGATAATACATCACTTTTCCTTTTGTTGTTATCTTTTTTTGTTGTTACGGTATTTCCTGACGGGCCTGCAGTGGCATCCATGCTTCCAGGACAGCTTTCCCCTTACGGGAAGCACGTTTTATAATTAATTTTGTTCATATTATAAGGATTTATTTCATATACGTATTCTGATAAGGAGTAATAAACCGGTCTTGTCTTGAGGGTGAACCTGTTATCGCGTTTAGAGCGCTCGATACGTCCACTCGCTAGCACTGTCAGACACGGACTTTTTTTTTTTTTTTTATAATATGAAATAGGTGGCATAATCTCCTGAAGATGACTATTTTTAATAGTTGAAACCGGTGGAGCCGTACAAATAAAAGGTTCCACCTCAAATATACATAATCGTTTTATTTGATTCGAATTCCTAAAGATGGAATGAAATAATACTAATGATATCTAGTTTTTTCTAAAGGGTCTTTTATATTCGGAAATAATTCGATAATAGTTTCTGCTGCATTCTTTTTTGCATATTCAGGTATTCGAAAATTTTGAAATTTTTCTTTTAAAATAAAACAAACTATTTGCACTAATTTGATTCGTAAACTGTTTGTAAGAAGTGCTTCTTTTTCATAGTAGTTAAATATGTTCTCACCTCCTTTTTCTAGTAATCCTTTTATTGCACACTTATTTGTATAGGATTTTGTCCCTAGCTTTCTAAAGAAGCTATTTTTGAAATAAAAGTGCTTAAAAGTTACCTATAAATACAGGTGTCCGGATATTGCGTTCATATATTTAAAGGGTTGATTCAACATAACAAATTATGAAGAAAAGTTCATATACGGATGTTAAGGATATTCAACATGTAGTTAATCCTCATTATTTCAAAAACCGTTGGGGTTAAAAAGTCGAAATTGTACATATCTATTTATTTTTACGCGAATATACGGACACCGTGTATAAATCCAAGTAAGGTTCACTTTTACCATCATTTTCTTAAATTTATTAGACAATTATATCCAGCCAAGGATAGCGCTTAAAGCTGCAGTAACAACGGCTGAACGATTAAGCTAAGAGGAAGATGGTAAAAGTGGCCTTATATCTAATACCTGAATACAGGACAATTTTAAATCTGTTTGGGCGACGACCGGCTCAAGCGTATTATTTGCGGATTGTAACCATTCATTTAACAAATCGTTCGAAGAGGATGTACTTATAATGGAAACAGCGGAAGCGGTGTGATCAATAATATTTAATTCGTTTCTAATTTTTGCAACGACAATTGTAACTATATTATTATCGTTGCTTTTGTCGTCATGTAATTTAGGAAACTTCTTCTTGACTAAATAAAATGTTAGCATTGTATAGGTATTTTTATAACTACTAACATGAGTAAGACTGATAGCGATTCGTGTAAAAATTTAATCAAAGATAAGATTTTCTATTATTTGGAAATTTTCCAGAATGACTTGAAAACCATGCGTTTAAACGATTTTTTTAAGGATAAGAATAATTTTAAAATAAATTATCTTTTTAAATCAGTTCGAACATTTGGATGTTTTCTATTAAATAACAAAGGTTTTAGGGAATAACTTTTAAAATCTTCCGGAAGTTCACAACACATTCGTCCGTCCTGGTATCGGCGTCGCCCTCAAGGTCGTTGGTGGAATTTTCGTTTCCAGATGAGTCATCGCCATCTTGGTTAATCCATTTCTTTATTCGCTCTGGAGGCAGCACGCTTTTGTACGGTTTCTGGGTAATAGTATTGCCTGGTATATTTGAAACTAAGTAACGATCATTGGCCAAAACTTTTTCGATACGTAATTTTCCCATGAACTTTGATGATATCTTCCGCCTATTGAGTCGCTTGATCATCACGCTTTTTCTTCCTTTGTCATAATTCCATTTCTTTCTTGTGAACTTCTTGTGAAGTTCTTCTTTATGAACTCTTCTGCTTCTTCTTACTTTTCTAATGTCTCATCTAAGTATCGTCTAAATCCATTTATTCAAAACTTGATATTAACTTTATAGTCTTGTATTGTATTTGATCATTTTGGCGACGTAGTATTGCGGTTCATCTGCGGTGTTTAAAGATATCTTTTAGTTTAAAGGTTATTTTTACTTTGTAGATAACTTTATCAAACAAAGTTTTATTCAAAACTTAATATTAACTTAATAGTCTTGTATCGTATTTAACCATTTTGGTGCCGTAGTAATGCGGTTCATCTGCGGTGTTTAAAGATATTTTCTAGTTTAAAGGTTATTGTTACTTTGTAGATAACTTTATCAAATAAAGTTTTATTCTAAACTTAAAAATTAATAGTGACAGAATAATTTTTTCAAACAAAAACTTTTTGAAAATCCATCAATGACGGCAAATATGTGCTTGTACCCCCGTGATGTCTTTTCCAATTGTCCTAAATGGTCGATATGCAGGGTTTTCCTTTATTGATACTGTGGAGAAATCCTTCTTTGGTCCTTGTTTTGTAATTGTGTTCGATGCACTTCAGGCAATTTTATAGGCATTTCTTAACATATTTCCTCATGTTTTTGAAATAGTACCACTTTCCTTTCTCAGCTCTTCAACCGTCTTTAGTACACCCAACTGAGATATACTTCATGAACGCTCGTCACTAATCCTTTTCTAACAATTCGTAGTTCTTCTTATCACCAATACCAAGTAAGATCTTATTCTTCATTTGTTGAATGTCATTGTCTTTGTTATGTGCTACTTCAATGCTGGTTTGGTTATCGTCTTCCACGTAGAGCACTTTTTCTGTTCGGCTGAGGAAGTCCACATGAGCCACCTTTATTCCAAGCCTGTGTTCCACTTCATAGTTGAACTCTTGCAGCATTATACATCAGGTAAACACCATACGATTACTTCTTTTTTTGATAATGTATACTTCAGGGCTGTACAATCGGTCACTATTTTAAACTCCTTTCCCAACAAGTATATCCTAAATTTTTCAACTGCTTTAACTACGGCCAGCGTTTCCAATCCAAAGCTGCCGTATCTGGACTCAATATCAGCAGTCTTCCAACTCGCATAGTATACTGGATGTAACTCGTCATTGTATTTTTGTAGAAGTATTACCCTTAACCCACGGGTACTAGCGTCTGTGTGTAGCTCGGTATCTCTCGTTCTATCATAAATCTTCAAGATTGGTTCTTCTATCTAAGCTTTCTTCAGTTTTTCAAAAGCATGTACGTGTCGTTCAGTTATCTCGTATTTTGTTGCTTTATGGAGTAGATCAGTCAAGGGTAGCTATCAAATAATAACCTCGTACAAATCTCCGGAAATAACCTGTCAGACCCAGAAATCTTCTCATTCCTTTGACCTCCGTTGGCATCTGGAAATGTGCGACAGTCTTGTGGAACCCAGGTTTTATCTCTCCGAATAAAAATCTGTAACCAAGGTATTCAGTATTCCTCATTAGCAAATTACACTTGTCTAGTCGCAGATCCAAGTTATGTTTCCTCACACGGTTCATCATCCTTTTTAGCACACCCAAATTTTCTGTTACTGCCTCAGTTGCAATAAGTATATCATCCATATAGATTTGAATCTCTCTTGTCTGGATAAAGTCTCGGAAAATTGCAGTAATATAACGCTGAAACACTGCCCTTTGAAACACGCCTTCCACTCTTCGGAAATAATGGTGGTCCCTGGACGTATCAATTTTTGAATGATTGGAAGAAGAGTATCTGCCGTTCTGTTCTCTTCGACCTTCTTTACAACCCACCCCCTATTCCATAACCAACCCGACATTTGGAGATATCAAAAATTACTCTCTGCTATAAAATTAATATTGTGTACCTATTCTGTTCTTAGCGTTAGCTAGGTTGCACTACGAGGAAGTGAACAGAGACGCAACCCAAAAATTAAGTATATGCCTGTAAAAAAAAGTTGTCCAATTCAAATATGAATATTTGAAATTGCCAAATGTTTATTATTTTAACGATCTCATCACCTACTTCCTCCCGATCACGTTGTTCTGCTGTCTTGGTGGGATCGTACATTAACGCAGCTATTCTATAAAATTCTCGGACCTTTACTACCCCTTTTCCTGCACATGATTTTTTAAACATATATCTTGCAAGATCACCTGACAGATGGGCCTTTGTCCGAACAAAGGAGGACATGTTACCCTTAACATGTCGCCACGTGGACTCTATTGCGTTCGTATGCGCACCTGTTTCTGGGTCTACAAAATTTATAGAATGGTTATCCTTCAAATGTAGGTACCCTGCTCTCTCCAGTCATACGCCTTCCAAAAATCGGAAATAATGGTGGTCCCTGGACGTATCCATTTTTGAATGATTGGAAGAAAAAGATGTCCGCCGTTCTGTTCTCCACGAGCTCCATTAACACAGTATTATGTAGTATCATTTCTGTCTACGCCTATGTCGAAGTGAACGCGTATAATGGAAATTGACCCTATTGTTGTCAGTAGTTNTTATTCGAGATAGTGCGTCCGCGACAGAATTATCTTTACCCCTTACGTAATGAACAGAAAAATCGAATTCTTCTAAAATTAATCTAAATTTTGTTAACCTTTAATGGGTAACATGGGAAAGTAGAATATAAATGGTAACGTGGGGTGTCTGATTACCCCCATTTATTTTTTCTATTTACTTAAGACATTATGGACCTTTGATTTAATTTAGATGTTTATTTTGTTAGGAAAAACTTCAAGAATCATAAAAAAATCATTTTTCTTTTTTTTTTAGTTTTGTGTATGAGTTTTTTTCACAAATATCTAAAATGTACAGTATTTTATAGGAAAAAAAAACTTACAATAATATCTAAAAGTGTTATAATATTATTTATTAATTAATGTTAATACAAAAAAAAACTACAACGAGTGGACATTTTATACAACCCAAAGTCAGTAGTCTGAGTCTGAGGACGTGTTTTCTGCAGGTGCAAGGCAAGGCTCACAAACGGTTTTCATATGTTTATTACACATGTATTTGTTGCACTTGAAGCACGTAGTTTTAACCTTCATGTCATTTTTCCTAGGGCAAACAGTGCACCTAGACCTTTGACCAGGATTTGGTGGAACAGCAGGTGCAATAGCATTGTCCATTTTGGCCCTCTTGGCTGCTCTTTGCCGTATTTCCTTTGGCAAGCGCATCTGCGTAGCTCTAGTTTGCACTTGTTGAGCTACTAATGTAAACCCCAATTCTTGCAAGAAGCTTTTACGGTTCATCTTACTTTGTGGATTGTTACCTTGAAACACCACATAACTGTTTACGCTTGCCAGGTCTAGAATCCTAAATAGGAGCACTAGTGGCCATCGGTTGGTTTTTCTTGCTGTTGAGTATGTTGAGCATAGTTTATCGACAACATCGACTCCACCTTTTGTCATGTTGTAAAAGGTGATTATTTCAGGTTTACTGTCCTCACCAGTGGTTTCATCAATTGTGCCATCCTCCAAGTGCATAGTTGAAAGAAGTACAACATTCTTGTTTTTTTTTGGTACATACGATACTACAGTTTTGTTATTCTGATATGCAAACACAGACGACTTTTCTGGTCTACCTTTAGCAAGTAACTCCGGAGGCAATTCCTTTTTGTTTTTTTTCATCGTACCTACCATAGTGACATTTTGTTGAAGCAGCAGTTCTGCCAAAGGGAAACTAGTGAACCAATTATCGATGGTTAGGTTCCTCCCTGATCTGTGGATAGGTTCTGTCAAACGCATCGTTACGTCAACTGTTGTGTTAGATACTTTGAACGAGCCATCATTTTGTTTTCCAACGTAAACTTCAGACTTCAATATGTACCAAGTTCTAGCATCTACCAAAGTGAATATTTTTAAGCCATATTTGGCAGGCTTACTAGGTATATACATGCGAAACGAGCAGCGTCCTCGAAAAGGCACAAGCTGCTCATCTAATGTGCAGTACTCAGAAACTGTGTAGACCTGCTTACAGTTGTGGTTGAAACGCTCAAAGATTTCACGAATTGGAGCAAGTTTATCCTCTTGCCTCCTAGCATGACGAGTATTTATGTCGTCAAATCGCATGTACCTAATTAAGAATTTAAACCTTTTCAAGCTCATAGTTGTTTGGAAAATATCAATTCCTAGTTGATGAACATTCCAAAGATCTTCTAAATTTTGATGGCCTGATTTTACTAAACCACTAAGTATTAAAAGTCCAAATAATGCATTCATTTCGGTAATACTTGTTAGGTAAGTACTCCGATCATTTTTGTTTTTTTCTGAATGTTTTGCAATCTTTATATTGGTAGAAGCCACTATTGTCTCAATCATCGTATCATCAAAAATTAATGAGAAACATTCTTTAGGTGTATTAGAATTCTGACCTATTGGCCGTACTCCTGGCAAATGTATCACTATATTTTGCTGCCTTGTTCTCACATTTCTCGGAAGTTGATGTTTTCTCCATGTCGTAACATTGTCTCTTCCTTTGTATGTTGGACCATCGTGGAGTTCAACTACCGGCATTTCTTCTTCGGACAACTCCGACTCAGAGTTGTGGTCAGAAAATTGCACCTCGTCCACTTCAGAGTCTTCATCTTCAGAGGAGACCAATTCTTCTTCTTCAACTTCTTGAAGGAGGTCTTGTATTCTGCGGCATTCATCAGGTTCCATTCTGCAAAGCACAAACGAGTTTAGAATGTGACAAAATAATACAATAACTGTAAAGGCAAGTCGTACATGATGAAATTGCTATGTAACACACATCCAGGTTAGTTTATGTTTACGAAGGCCAAATTTAATGTGAGTTTATAGGTTAGGTTATAACAACTACAATTCTAGTTATTCAAGTCAGAAAAAACTATAATATACTTACTTTTATAAAAGAAATAGAAGAATGGATGCGGTGAAATGTGCTGACACAACGGGTAACGTGGGGGTACAGAGACTCCCCAAGCACTTTTGGAGGTTATGTTGAATAAACAGGATGTGTCAGCACTGAGACTCTACTGAATACAGACTGTCTTCAAGGTCACAGGAAGGTACCTGGAACTACACGACTGCTGCCAACTCCTGACAAAAAATATACCTCTTTTTTTAGAAGTGGGGGTATTTCCACCCCCACGTTACCTTTTAAAGGTTAAATAAAATAGTTGAGATTCTAGGTTGGACACATAAANGATGTCCGCCGTTCTGTTCTCCACGAGCTCCATTAACACAGTATTATGTAGTATCATTTCTGTCTACGCCTATGTCGAAGTGAACGCGTATAATGGAAATTGACCCTATTGTTGTCAGTAGTTTATTAATAGAGGATGAAGAAAACGAAATACGACAAAGGGGAAAAAGAATGTGGGTTCATAGTATTAACTTAAAAAGACAATGGTTTGAAGAATACTATTCGTTATATCCTAAGCGATTTTTTAAATATTTCCATATCACTCCTCTCAAGTTTAGGCAGCTGTTAGGTATGTTAGAAGCGCACATAACTAGACAAAATACAAGGTATAGAATGGCAATTGGACCAGAAGAAAGACTAGTTCTTTGTTTAAGGTAAGAATACATTTATTTCTATTTTATTGTTTAAATAACAGGTATTCTGATCTGATTCCGAATCTGTCAATTCGAATTCGATAGAATTCGTTCGATTGAGGTACGGATTGTATGGTTTCTTGAGATATATCTCGAGCTGGTGCTGTCGATGTACCAGATGCATTCTCGTTGCTAATTTCTACCTTTACATTGTGGACCATGTGAAACAAGTCCTCTTTTATCTGTAGCTGCTTTCTGACCGAATCGGGAATCCCCTAGGGGGATTTATACCCTTCGGAAGAATCTATTAATAAGTCTGGGGTTCTTATATCCAAATGACTTCCAGTTCTTAATATGTTTGATCGCCGATTCTCTTCGTCATTTAGATATGGTATTAGGAAACTTGCTATCCTGAAAATACTTTGGAGGTTTGAGCCTATCTGCCGACACTGATACTTTTGCGAAGATTTGAAGCTTTTCGAACATTTTCTCTGATCCTTTGCCATTTATCTTTGCATGTTATATCTGCAAACGTATGAAATGCATGAAATTTTTAAATTAGAAACGAGTTAGGTCATAATAATAAAATAATTTTGCTGGTTTCTGGCAACCGGGAATACTTTTACATCTTTAGCTGATAACTATCGATTGGGCGAGACTACAGTATGAGAAATAGTATACTCTACCTGTGAAGCAATTTGGGCCTCTATACAACCAATCGTAATGCCCACACCTAACGAGAATTTGTGGCTTTCATCGGAAGCACAGTTTCGGGAAAGATGGAATTTCCCAAATGCAGTGGTAGCACTTGATGGGAAACTCATATTGATCGTAGCACCACCACATAGTGGTTCTAATTATTTCTGCTATAAAAATCACTTTAGCATTGTGTTGCTGGCGCTAGTTGATGCAAATAAAAAATTCATCGCGGTAGATGTTGGTGCTTTCGGCAAAAATTGTTGGGTAAATTCATGTTTGGCAAACAGATCACTTTCTATGCCATATCTGGTATGAATGTTTCCGTTAAAACGATTTTAATAGTTGAATTGCTTTATTGGAAATTGACGATGCTCGCATTTTAATTATTTCGTCAAAATGAGACGCAATCAGCCTCAGTCCTCGCTCTTTTTGCTTTAAATGACCAGATGACTGCCCAATTGTATTTTTTTCTAGATCGGCTACTTTACGAAATGCCTTTTTAAATGTTTCCTGTCGTATAAATGGTATTTGCAAAACATTTAGAAACTCTTGACACTGTGCGTATCCACTTTCTGTTGAAATTGCACCCAATGTCGTTGCTTCGTTTAGGTCTATTAGATCTGTAATCTGACATCTAAGCCACACATTTTACATCATAATGTAAAAATACTTTTTAAACCTTTTCGACAGTTTTTTATTAGAACCGTATCAATGATAGAACATTCGAAAGGTTTATGGCGTGGGTATGACAAAATTTGTTTTAAAATAAAACCCATGTCAACTACTCGCCGACCGATGGTGTTCAGATCATTTATTTGTTCAATAGGTATAAAGGTGTTCCGTGAGTATTTATTTTAATCGTTTCTTTACTGCAATGGTTAATGCTGTTTAGTTTAGATCTGTCGTTTGATGAGTTGGTTTCATTCAAGTTTTCATCATGTTTAGGAGATGGCAGTGAATCGTTTTTGTAATTCCCAAAAACTGTCTATGTAGTTCAGTCCAGGACCAAAATGGGGTCCTCTTTACTGTTACCAAATCCCTTTTCCTATACCTTTTAGGTTCTCTTCATCGTATTATATTGCTTCCTATTTTCCTCCTGAACTCTCAATATTTGTTTCTTGGTTTCCAACCTTAATTCCTCTCTCTTCATCAAATTTGCCAAGCATTGATCTATTAATTCATGTNTTGTAACGTGCGCGCAGTTGTCAATTTATTCATCAGGTGATGCGCTGCGGCAACACCGCATTTCGTATGGCACGGGATTCCGGATTCTGAATACTAGTTTCACTCCCCTGAATAGAACTGAGACGTATACAACTGAGCGTCCCGGGTTCGAGTTTTCAAATGCCGAGTTTCGCGATTCACCGATTGGTGGGTTGTGCGGCTGCCTTTTCAATTTTTGCTCATGGCGAAAACATTTCTAAGAAAAAAATGATAACATAAACCGCAATCATGATTACTATAACCGAAAATTTTTGTATGTAGTATTACACGTCCGGCCCGTTCTTCGCAAAAGTGATAACAATATCCGATTGATAACATTATCCGTGATTCTAATAAGCGGCTACCACTGTACTTGAAATGGTGTCTTATTGAGACTTCTCTGGTAAGTGGAATTTAAAATAAATCTAATTTGTAAATTGGTACCACTTCTTTGGGTTGTCGATACTGTGTTTTGCCAAGACTGGTATGATAATTCGGTTTATCCTTTCTATTTGTCCATTTCGACGTGGAACTCCTGTCGTATGTATGTATGGATAGTGCATCCTCCCATCACACACTGGTCACATCAACCAGCCGAAGGATTTGCCAAAGGCTAGCACAGCTCCCAGAGGTGTGTTCCTAATATCATCTGTGGTTGGCCATTTTTCCCCGAAGGTCCTCATTCTGAGGTTGGTCAGAGAGGGGCAATCACACAAGAAGATGTGCCTGACCGTCTCGTCGTCCTGTTCGCAGGCTCGCCAGAGAGGGGGGGGGAGTCTACAAGCTTCATGTTATGAAGGTGCTTATTTACCTTACAGTGTCCCGTGAGGAGACCTGTGGCAGTGCGAAGGGCACTTTTACCAAGCCCTACGAAGAACTGAGCTGTAGTTGCTGAAGGATATTTTAACAATTCCTTAGCAAGATTACAGCTCAGGATTCTATCTCACCAATTTAGGAATTCCTGTCATCATTAGGATATGATTAGTACCTTCAACCTTGCAATAATCTTAAAATTCATGGGAAATGAATACAATTCCTCTATCCGAAATAATTCTTGCTGGGTTACCAAAATTAGCTTGTAGTCTCTTTATGCATGAAATAGTTTCTTTTGATGTCACAGTCTTAGTTGCGTACAAGCAAGTGAATTTTGTAAAATCAAAATAATCAATAACCACTAACACATATTGAAAGTTTTTATTTGTAATCGCGGATCAAAACTTAAATTGTCTGTAAAATGCAAAAACTTACACAGTAATCCAAACCTGTATTCCCCATGGTTTTATAAAAAATGGTGTTCAATGATTCTTTTTCTTGAAAAATAGGGTTCCAATCGCGGTTGTGCAATTATTCCTTGTAAAATTATGAGCCCTAAAAAAATTTTTAGGTTGTAGCTCAAGATGACTATCAAAAAATTGCTTGTCATACAAATTTATTTGCTCTGTAATTAATTTTATAAATTCTTCATCTAACTACTTCTCAAGATAAAGCAAGGGAACTTTTTTTGGCGTCGAAAGTTTTTCCAGGATGTGTTCCAGGAAATGGTGGTCTTTCTGCATTTTGAGATAACCATTCGTCAGAAAAAATGTTGTTGCTGGGATCAACTTGCTCAACTTCTTCATCATCTTCACTCTCACTATCGCTTATTTCCGTATCGTAGTCATATAATCATTGTCAGATGCCTGTCGGTACAGTTACTTTGTCATCACTGATATCACTTACATTCATTTTCATGGATACTAATAAGTAAAATATATAATAGCTTCTAAAGTAATTTATTGGGATNTGTCTTCAAGGTCACAGGAAGGTACCTGGAACTACACGACTGCTGCCAACTCCTGACAAAAAATATACCTCTTTTTTTAGAAGTGGGGGTATTTCCACCCCCACGTTACCTTTTAAAGGTTAAATAAAATAGTTGAGATTCTAGGTTGGACACATAAAAATCTGCAAGAAGGCCAGATAGGGGGGAACCCATGGGTAATCCATCAGCCATTTCGTAAAAATGGTCATTAAAAATGAAAAAATTTTGATTGGTTATGTTTTTAAGTATGTTGATCAAATTATTTATATCATTATTAGTAATGTTGATGGGAAGATTATTGTTGTTTTCAATTTTTTTGGAATTGAGAAAATTTTTTATGATTTTTAATGTTTCTTTGATTGGGACATTGGTATATAGATTTTTTATATCTAGGGAGATGAGTTTTGTATTTTTGTTTATTCTTATTTTATCAAGTTTTGAAATTAGTTCTGAAGAATTCTTTATAGAATATGTGGATTTGAAATTGAAAGATTTAGTTAGAATACTATGTAGGGCTTTAGATATAAGGTGACAAGGAGAGTTGATATCGCTGACTATGGGTCTGATGGGTTCACCTGTTTTGTGTAGTTTTATTAGACTGTGTAAAGTGGGATGTAGAGGATTCATGGGTATGTATTTTTTATTTGAAGGAAAAAATTTGTTTAGGGTATTTGATGATTTTTTCAAAATATCCTTAAGTTTATTGGTAAAAGAAGGAAGAGGGTCTTTGTGGAGTAAGGTAATGTTATTGTCGTTAAAGAAAGATAAGGTTTTTGAAATATATTCAGATTTATTAATTAAAACTAGGCCTGCATTTTTATCTGCTGGTGTACATATTATATCGTGTTTGAGAAGGTTGTTTTTCAAAGAGATAATGGTATTTTGATATTTAGAAT